TGTGCATCACCCACTGTGCACCCACCTACCTCCCCCCCGCCCCCGGTGTTACACAACCTCACTGCACTCACCTGCTGCTTCATCTCCTGCGCCAGATGACACCTGGGAGGCCTCTGGGGTCTGGGTGACTGGCTCCAGGGTGAGGGTCGCCGTCTCCTCACTGTCCTCCTCTGGCACCATGTCCCCGTCTCCTGAGTGCTCTGGGTCCTGCTCTGGCGCGTCCACCACAGGGTCTGCGAAGCCTGACTGGACGAAACGCCGTGGTGTGCGTGCTTCACCACCACCACCCAGGATCTGGTCCAGCTCACTGTAGTAAGGGCAGTAGTAGGGGGCTGCACCAGAATGGGAGCTCTCCTCCCTGGCCTTGACATATCCTTGGCGCAGCTCTTTAACTTTGGAGCGCACCTGGTCCTGGGTGCGGGGGTAGTGCCCTTTCTGGGCCAGGGCCTCTGCCATGCGGCCATAAATGTCCGCATTTCGCCGCCTGCTTTTGAGGGCTTGTAAGGCCTCCTCCTCTCCCCAGAGCTCGAGAAGGGTCTTGATCTCTGGCCCAGACCATGATGGTGCCCGGTGTTTGGAGCCCCTGGCTGGGTCCCCAGAAGGCTCTCTGGAAGGGCCAGGAGGGTCTTGGAGCTGGGACATGCTGCACCTAAGTAGCCGTGTGCTCTGGCTCCTTTGCTGCAACAAGTGGCTGTGAGGGTGCCTGTCCCTTTAAGAAATGGCTGCAGACAGGAACCAGAGACATGCAACCCATGCCCCAGATTGTCCACCAGGGCTTCTTCCTGGAGGCCAGTATTTTCGAAAAAATGGCCTCCCCACGTCCACACTCACTTATTTTCGACGGATCTCCGTCGAAAAAGGCGTTCTTCCTCGTGCAATGAGGTTTACCGCCGTCGAAAGAAAAGCCGCGTTCTTTCGATTTAATTTCGAAAGAACGCGGCTGTAGTCTAGACGCAGGTGAAGTTTTTTTGAAAAAAGGCTACTTTTTTCGAAAAAACCCCTGAGTCTGGACACAGCCTAAGGTGCCACAGGACTGTTCCTTATTTTTAAAGTTACAGACTACCATGGCTACCCTTCTGAGACTTTTTGACATATATAAAGTTACTTAAATGGATATTCATTATATGTAGCCCTACTGTTGTATTTGGTACCCACCTACTGTGATCATTGAATCTAATTAGACAATATCTGGACTATTATATCTTCCTTCTCTTCCAGCCTCAGAGGTCAATTCCCAGAGCATTTAAATATATGCCTTTTCTCATTCTTTCTGCTCCTCTAATAATGTACCTCCCCCCCCCTCCAAAACAATCAAAGAATATCCCCACTGATGTTAAGAATTCAATTTAGTTCATAGGTTTTTTTTTTTAAATTATCTTTACAGAAGCATTTTTATCCACTTCACTCCATTAAAAGCCATAAATCAGCTTTATATTATTGACACTTAAATTTCCTTTACAAGAGCATAGAATTAATAGTTTAATATTTGTTTTCAATATATAAAGTGGTTTATATTTTTAGATTCATGAACAAGAATTTTAAAATACACAGTAACAATAATAATCTTGTGCAATACTTCACAATGAAAAAGAAGGCCTCTTGTATTTGGGTCCCAAACAATTTAGACTGTAGGTCTTAAAACCAACAGAATTCTAACACAATCAAAAGACACCTTCTTTTCTGAAATATTTTACCCATCGGTACTGTTGTTATAAATAATATATAAAATTGTTATATCTGAAATAGACTAGGAAAAATGTCAAATCTGGTTTGTTTTGTTC